TTCCAAAGATAATTGTCTCCTATTGGAAGGAATCCAGAGCAAACCCACATTAAGCTAAATTCTGCATTAGAGTGGGCTGTCATACAGTTGGGAGGATTTATTCCAAGCACCTAGAAGACACATGAAAGATGAATAGATAGAATTTGTCAGATTTTCTTTTACCTTTAAACATACCCCAATGCAATGAAAGGAAAAAGGATAATGTCATTTTGCTCATACATGAAGGTATTTTTTTGTTTCTTCCTTTTTTCTTTCTTTCTTTTTATTTTTTTATTATTATTTTTTTTATTTGCTACAGGGTATGTGTGTTCTCCAGAGGGAGACAGACACAGAGAGAGAGAAAATGAGAAAACAATTATCAGGGATACTTCAATCCCTTCTTCTCCATTCTCCACTCAGGACTTTGGGCTTGCACACACACACACTCAAAATGCTTTTCAAACCATGGAGTTCAGCACTCAATCTGTGCATTTGTCCATATGGGACCTAGTCACCTAATCACCACACCATCAGCTGGCCCCACAAAAGCATTTTTAATCATAGTTAAAATTGATTCATCTGGTTGTCAGTCCCTAGAGAATCAAATGCAAAGCCTAAAGATATGCATATCAGTAATGTATGGTCTGCATTGTTAATGAATGAAAATTGAAGGGATTTACAGTAAGTACATGAGTCCATAGTGAGGGATTTGAAAATGAAAATGTAGAGTTTACTGATGTTGAAATCTATAAAGTTTTTTATTTAAAATTATTTACACATTATATCATCTCTTTATCTACTATTTTTTAATTGCAGAGGGAAAGAGGGACAAAGAGAGAAAAAAAGGTCCTCTAAAAACAGGGCATGATCATGACACGATCCCTTCTCCACACTTTTGCCATTGGGTCAGGATTTGTAGCACAAACACACATGCACTCCACAAGCTTTTCAAGCTTCTAGATCTGCAATTCAAACTGTGATCAGTCATTTGGAATCTGGCTCTCAATACACATTGCTTAACAACTATCCTACAGGTCTGTCTGAACATTGCAATATTTTGCATATGAATTAACAATGAATGTAGGGTTACTTAAAAAAAGTTTAATAACATGATCATATCTGTATAATATTGAAACATTCATATAAGTCACAGAATTAATGACTTAACAGAAACATTATAATATAGTATTCAAATGCATCACAGATATATAAAATATAATATAAATATTCTCATTTTTCAAACACATAAATGAAATGTTCTAGGGCATTTTCATAGCACAGTGGTCAAGGGTGCTGGATTCCAGTGGCTGGCTAAGGTTGCAATCTTGGCCTCAATGACTTAAAAATAGGCTGAGCATGTGTACATGTAAGCCTAAAATCTGACAGGTTGAAGAAATGAAAAAAGGATTGCAGTGTGATCATGCCCTATTGGAAGAATACTTTCTCCCTCTCTTTGACTTGTGAACACATACACTCCCTGGGAAAAAGTGAAAAATATTATTAAAAATAAATAAATGAAATATAAATTTTTTAAAAAGTCGTGTGGCTCAATAAATTTGTAATATTTATAAAATTTGAAAGAATCAGGGCCAGCAGTTGGCGTAATGGCTATGTCACTGGACTCCCATGTAAGCGACCGCGGTTCCAGACTTGGTGGCTTAAACTCACACGGGGCGTGCGTGTGTGTGTGTGTGCCCAAGATCCTGAGAGGAGAATGGAGGAGAAGGGATTGAGGCATAGCCATGCCCCCAGGGATTGATTTCTCACTTTGTGTCTCTCTGTCTCTCTTTGTCTTTCTGGCGAACGCACACACCTTATAGCAAAAACCTCTCAAAAAAAGAGAGAGAGAGAATGAAATATGCTTGTTTGGATCACCCCAGAGCCCAGTGGTTAAGGATGCTGGATCCCACCTGGCTGACCATGGTTTACATCCTAGGGCATGATCGTGTCTTAAAGAAAGGTGTTTTCTCCTCCTCTCTCTCTGTTTTTCCTTTCTCTGGTGAGTGCAAGCACCTTCTGGCAAAATAGAAACAAAAATCAGTGGTTGTAGCTGGATTTTCAATATTTAAAACCAATATTTGGTAGATTTGATAAGTGAAGACAAAAAGTAGTACAGTATTTAAGATCAAGACTTATAATAGAAAATCATCTGAATGTAACATCTCACGACTAGGAATTACACTCAAAGCTGTTAGATGATCAGATATTCACATTGCAGTACTGCACAACCTCCTTCCTGACAATCACATTCCTCCCATGCAATATAGGAATGAAATGGAAAGCAAGACCTCACCACCCTGCAACTACTTATCAACAATTTCCATTTCACTTCTTGACATACCTCAGGGTATACATCAGATCAGGACCAGGGGTCACAAATGTATTCTTTGAATGGGTGTATTTCCCTTCTTGTTTACCCTATGCTTCTCAGTGGGGTTTCTGATTTAAACCTGGGCAAGCAGAGAGGGGATTCAATAGATGGAGGGAATGGGATGGAAAATAAGGTGGGGATTTTTATTGCTCAGGAGACTCTATATATTAAAATGGGTCATTTTTGCTTATAAATTCCCAGTTGACACTCATCATCTTACTACTCCTGATTGCCTAATACGTGCAAATTGTTGTAATTACAATGGATTCCAATTTAAGCTTTTAGCCATTGATATAGATTTTGCAATCAGAAACATCCTGGATTCCAGCCCTTCATAGACTCCTTTGTGCTTTCACTACATAAGGTAGAAAGTTAGTGCCTATGAGTATCCAAATTGAAATCTGTCACTAAGGATTACTTACAATGTTTATTTTATAAGATCTTTGTGAGAACCCAGACACTTAGCAAAGGACCTGACATGAGATGTAATAATTACTTCTACAGAATATCACTTATCACAACCGAGGTTCAGGGGTTTGGTGGCAATAAAGGGGACCTGAAAACTCCAGTTACCTTTTGCTAACCTCTGGTTACCCTGTGTAAGATCTCCCTCCCTGCCATAGGCTGTCATTCTCTAAAAGTTTTTCTCTTTTTTTCTCTTTCATCACCATAATCTATAAATTAGTGTGGACATTCATTGTTTATTATAATAAACAAAAAAGGCTTAACAGAACTATGGATTTTTGTCTTTTTCAATACACAAGCAATTTATAATAGAGATAATAAAAGAGCGTTTCCTTCTGTGTACATGAAAACTCTGCTAGCTTAAAAATAACACAATACATAAACATACTGGGGATTATTTACTGGGAAAATTTCAGCTTCTCCATAATTTATGCACGGAAGAGTTCTACATAGAGGCAAAAGTTCATCAAACTGATAGCTGTCAAAAGAACTAAAACCTATTATACTTTCAAAATTTTTTCAATGAAGATGTTTCTATTCTCAGGATAACCGTATGTTCCCCAAGGACTAGGATCTCCTCTGTTTTCTCTCTGAGGTGTCTTTAGCATCTAGAATAGTGACTGGTGCACAGTGATTACTCAATAAACCTTTTTTGAAAGATCTGAGAAGTATCTCATTAAATTCCTGTCCATCTTTAGAAACTTGCCCAAATACAAAACAAAACAAAAGCAACCTACCAACAAACAAAAAGCACTTTGATTTATTTAAAAACCAACAAAAATGGGGGGTGGCAGGTGGTATAGTGGGAAGATGGACTTCCACATGGCCGGCCACGGTTCGAGTCCTTGACCTGGCAGCTTTCTCTCTTGCTCTCTCTCTTTTTCTCTCTCTGGTCAATTTAAATTAATTAATTAATTTTTTTTTTTTTTTTAAATGAGCTCGCCCTAATGGTACAAGCCAGTGCTTGGGAGGCTGGAAGTTGCAAGGGAGGCCTGGGCTTGTCCTCCAGGTAATCTCAGTACCTAAGTTCAACCACATCTGCAATTTCAACCAATTGGGGAGCTAGGGCAGGAGGTTGGCAACATACTGAGACACTGTCAAAAATGCTAATTTCTGGGACCAGCAGTTAGCATAATGGCTTAATGGCTATGTCTCTGAACTCCCATGTCATTGATGAGTCCTGGAAGCGGTGGCTTAAATTCACACCATGAGCAAATGCATGCATGCCCAAGATCCTGAGAGGAGAATGGAGGAGAAGGGATTGAGGTATGGCCATCCCCTGTG